TTACATGTGTTATTTCTCTGTTAAACAAAATGGACCCATACAACACACTGTTTTCAAAGTATCTATGTATAATTAAAATATAAAAGAAAAAAATATATTAAAAAAGAAAAAAATGGATTTGTTTGGGGAGACCCTGACATGTAATTCTCATTCTGCATCCATCCAAGTTGCATGTCTAATGAGACTCACCTTCAGCCATCCATCTATAATACTGAGTCAGCCACCATCCTGGGGGAGAAAAAATGATTCCATTAGTACAAAGGTCTCCAAACTTGCAACTTTAAGACTTGTGGACTTCAACTCCCAGCATTCTATGCTGGCTGGAGAATTCTGGGAGTTGAAGTCCACAAGTCTTAAAGTTGCCAAGTTTGGAGATCTCTGCATTAATATTAAATATCTGAGCAGCAGAAATTGACACTGGATCTTTGACCTTGGCACTATGTCACCATCCCTACTGCTACCATCTTCCATTTACCAGTAATACCAACCCAGGAACAGATTGAAAACGAGCCTCATGATGGGATTTTTATAGGCAGCAGAACTTCTGGCTTCCTAGGTCTTCTGTCTTGTCCTGTCCTGTTGCTCAGAGGAACAAATTGGTGCTGAAATACCACAGAAATCTATGGAAAAGATCTTATCATGCACACCCCCAAAAGCAGCTTAATTCAGACAACAGCCTCCTTATTCTGTCTGATGATTCTCTAAACTTCCGCAGTTGTGAAAGAAAAGAAAGAAGAAAAATAGAGGAAGTGATAACAATCTGTGGGTGTGTTGAAATGGAGGAACTGAAGCATCATTTGCAAGAGACCCAGAGCTTTAAGGCTCCACGACATTCCTTTTGAAGTGGGGGAAACAACCCCTTCCCGCAGGCCCAGAAGTGGATTATCAAGTTTTTCTCCCATTGCCAGCGACCACGAACTCGAAGTCAAACAGCAGGATCACAGCTCATCAGCTCAAATCCCCCAGCAACTAAGACTAACCTGAGTGTGTGTATATATATATATATATATATATATATATGGTATTCAGCTTTGTTCGGGTATTTTCCCACGTCATTATAGTTGTGCTTTTAAAGTTGTAGCAATGTTTCAGCAGAATCTCATCTGCCATCATCAGGCTTCTGTATTGTGTTCGTCTGTGAGTCAGACTTTTACAGTTGTTTCAGTTTTAAATTTGGGGCTAGCCTACTGCTGTGCCAGAATGGTTTTTTCTTCATCCTGATTGTTTGGGAGTCTTGGTCTGTGTTTATTGGTCTTGGAGTTTGCTGTGTTCTGCTTGATTGGTGTTTCTAATATCTTCTGTCTGTTTTGTGGCTTTTTTGTGTGTCTTGATTGGCTGGCAACTTTGTGTACCTGTATTGGAGGGCTTCCACAAAGCCAACAGCTTCTACAAAAGCAAAATCACCGGCTTGATCCACAAAAACACACTGAGACATAATGGAGACCTAGAAGATGAACAGAGCTATGGAACAGCTGTCCTGCCCTACATAAAAGGCACCACAGACAAAATCAGTAAGATAATACACAGGCATCACATCAAGACTGCCTTCAAAACAGACAGACAAATAGCAGCCATCCTTAGAAACCCCAAAGATAAAATTGACCTGGAAAACCAAGGCATATATGAAGTCCCCTGTGCATCATACCCGGACACATACATTGGACAGACCAATAGAAGAATAAGTACCCGCCTGGATGAACACAAAAATGCAGTCAAAAAGCTGGAACACACTTCCTCACTAGTCCAATACATGGAAGCCACAGGTCATAGCATCAACTTCAATAGCACCAAAACCCTAGCCACTATAGGAAACCCCAGCCACAGAATTATCAGAGAAGCCATAGAGATTGAAGAAAGACCTGAAAACATGAATAGAAGAGATGATTCCACCTGACTGTCAATCATTTGGAAGCCTGCACTCACAAACAAAAAAATCTCCACACCACTAGCCAGGCAAACACCTCGGCACAAACAGATCCCCCTGATACCTCCAGCTCAAACACACCCCAACCAGGCACCCAGATGAAACCTAGCTTCCTAACAAATGATAGCCGTCCATTTACTCGGTGCCAAGCTGCACTAAAAGCCTCCAATACAGGAACACAATGTTGCCAACCAATCAAGACACAAAAAGAGCCACAAAACAGACAGAAGATATTAGAAACACCAATCAAGCAGAACACAGCAAACTCCAAGACCAATAAACACAGATTAAGACTCCCAAACAATCAGGATGAAGAAAAAACCATTCTGGCACAGCAGTAGGCTAGCACCAAATTTAAAACAGAAACAACTGTAAAAGTCTGACTCACAGACGAACACAATACAGAAGCCTGATGATGGCAGATGAGATTCTGCCGAAACGTTGCTACAACTTTAAAAGCACAACTATAATGACGTGGGAAAATACTTGAACAAAGCTGAATAACATACATGTAAGTACCCACGAAAACTTAAGAAAACAAATATATATGTACATGTATATGTATATGTATATCTATGGCATTCAGCTTTGTTCGGGTATTTTCCCACGTCATTGTAGTTGTGCTTTTAAAGTTGTAGCAACGTTTTGGCAGAATCTCATCTGCCATCATCAGGCTTCTGTATAGTGTTCATCTGTGAATCAGTCTTTTACAGTGAGATATATATATATATATCTCACTCTGAGAAGCCCAGAGCCGAAGACAGAAGCCTGAAGATGATGAATGAGACTTCATCGAAACGTTGCCTAGATACTTCGAATCTTACGTGGGAGAAAACCCGAACAACCAAAGATCCATATATATGTGTGTGTATATGTGTATATGTGTGTGTGTGTGTGTGTGTGTGTGTGTGTGTGTGTGTGTGTGTGTATATATATATATATATATATA